GTCGGGTGCTTACTGTTAGATCATCACTTACTAATTCTAAAATTTGTTCTTCTAGTTCTATTTGATCGTGTGGTCTTGGAGCACCGGCATGATCTCCTCTGTGAGGTCTTAAGTCACCTGATTCACGAGCTCTTTGCACTACATTAACAAAGGCACGAGGGGTTGGTTGCACTCGATTGGGAAACCGATCCGCATAGATCCGTGATGCCGCGGCAGCATTTTGTAAAGACTCCCCGTAAATAAGAACCATGTCCACAAGTTCAGCATTTTCGTAAACATGTGCCATTTTTGATTTGAGCCTCGCAACAGACACGATTATTCACTTACGCGTTACCGACTACCGACTGATACTGACTGTATACAACTGAAGAAAATAATTGTAAAAAGATCGTTCCAAATTCTTTCGCTTTTTTGTTTCCGATGCGATGAACGGATAAGGCGGATTATATCTGTTGTTGCCAAACACGAGAACATAATATCATTATTGAGACAGGGCGGTACTCAAACTTCCAAAGGGCTATAACTTTGTTACTTTAATTTTACCAGAAAAATGGTAAAGGAAAAAAACATTTCTTTTGATCAGATCTACTCACTGTTAAAATAAATGACTCAACTTCGAAGTCACCCTGTATAACTTGAGACGTGGTCATTGTCGTCTAGACCAGTTAGGTGAAAAATTAAAGCTTCCGCCTTTTGTTGGGTACTTCGACAAAATTTAAGCAAAGAGGACTCTTTATACTTTTTTTAATTCTCTCTAGCTTTCAATGGACTTTGCCATCATCATCAGGAGAGTAGTATGTGAGGATGTTGCTAATTGTTGTTTACGTATAGGATGAGGGAAACGTCCAGTAACATGGTGAGAGCTGGATAGATTGTACAATAGTCAAACTTATATAAAATATGACAAGAACAAGTTAAAAACAGATTAAAAATTATTTAAAAAATTAGAGCATTACATCGTGAAGCCACTTGATGATTGCACAAGGACCACTAATTTGTGCAATCATCAAGTGGCTTCACGATGTAATGCTCTAATTTTTTAAATAATTTTTAATCTGTTTTTAACTTGTTCTTGTCATATTTTATATAAGTTTGACTATTGTACAATCTATCCAGCTCTCACCATGTTACTGGACGTTTCCCTCATCCTATACGTAAACAACAATTAGCAACATCCTCACATACTACTCTCCTGATGATGATGGCTAAGTCCATTGAAAGCTAGAGAGAATTAAAAAAAGTATAAAGAGTCCTCTTTGCTTAAATTTTGTCGAAGTACCCAACAAAAGGCGGAAGCTTTAATTTTTCACCTATACATATATATATATATATATATATATATATATATACATACATATATATATACACCTTGGGAAAAAACATTATTATACATTATGATGAGGAAGAGAGATGGAAATATACAAAAGTATGTAGGTGCGTGAAAGACATTCGATTGTAGGATACTATGTGGCAGCGTCGTTGTGTGACGGACAACGGGGTAAAGTAGAAGAGTGATAAAAGAGAGAGATGGCAGAACGGGCGCTGGCGCCTACCGCTTAGACGGATGCGCTCAACAAATGCGGTTTGTTTCTCCCATTCGCAGAGTTGCCGATATCAATATGTCATATTTCTAAGAAATCTAAGTCTACCCAAATTTCGGGAAAAATAGCTGCGGATTCCACATAAGAGTATTCCAAAAATGAAAAAAGTTCAAACTATTAAAATTGTATTAATGTTTCATGGTTCAAATCATATTTTTCATGTTTGTATATTGTTGTATAAATGATTTTGTAATTCCTATTCTTGTTGCCAGTAGAGATACAACAGTATTGAGAGAAATCATGGACCGCTAGATAGGGCTACAACTACCATATGACTATCAAATAGTAGTGATAAACAGGGTTTGTTTATAGCACAGTTGCCTGGTGTGTGGTGTGGCGAATTTGCGCCATAGGGGCGATTTGACAACTTTGAAGGACAACTATAACGGTTACTATGGTGCCCGGTATTCGGGAATCTGGCAATACCTGATGATTCCTAACGTTTATTACGCCAGATTGTTTGCTGACTTGCACAGTACAACATGACAATCAACGTGACTGAGCACCTGGTAATCCTGGTTTAAGGTGTTATATTTAAACAGCTTGGGGAAGTTAGGTATCTAGGCCACATTTTTTAATGTATTTTGAGAAATCGGTAATGTTGAGTAAATACTAGATCACGTTTCTTGTTTAGTTTGCTGAAAATTCTACAATAGACGTACATTTTGAGAAACAGAGATTTGGTGACGACAAAATCGTAAAAATATAACGCATTTTCGTAAAATAATTTCTTTGTTGAAAATACTGTTTCTTGATGACCCATTGAACGAGTATAGTGTCCCGCTCCGCTTTGAATATTCGAAACACTATACTCCAGCAGCATTCAGCTTCAATGTTATCTTTATGAAGTTCTATCGTCTAGGCCATGCTGATTAAAAGCTTGAATGAATCAACACTTAACTCTAAATTCCCCACAATTCGGGAAGCTCTACTCAAATTCGCAACACAGCGTTTCTGCCTATTATTCTCATTCGTGATACAGGTCTGCGGTTAACGGTAGGAAATATGTACGAATAGCGATGAAAGTAGACGAGCCGATGCTCTGTTGCCAAGAAATGATTTCCCATGTATAACAATGGTTTTTCCTAAGGTGTATATACACATATATACCTACAATATAAATAAGATAAATAATAATTAGAACACTAATAATTATTTGAATCCTAGTTGAACAATAGCATTAGCAAAAGATATTTGAGGCTCTTCTATAGGCCTATTATAAAAGTTAAAAAAGGTATTCGAGACAGGAGTCCAGCCTGCTGTATTTTTAATTACATCTATGTTTACGCCTGCTTTAAGTGCAGCAGAGGTTGCAGCGTGGCGTACACTTTGCGCTGAGAAAACTGATGTGTCTACACCTCCTAAGTGTAAGGTTTTTTTAATCCATCGACTTATTGTTTGCGGAGATGCAGGATGATATGGTTTTTTGTGTGTAAGTAGTAAGATTTCCTCAGTATTACGAAATGATTTAGTTCTTTTAATGTAGTCTTCAATAGCAGAGGCTACGCAGAGTTCATGTTTAGTTCTAAAAAAAGGAAAAACAAGTAGCGGTTGGGACCTGCCTAGAGGAGATATTTTTATCCTATCTGGTATTTTAATTTCTATTTTATCTGGTGATATTGTAATGTTTGGGTCTTTAATAAGAGACAGTGTTTGAACCCTGCGGCTGATGTTAAAGCCATAAGTGTGACAAGTTTGTATGTTGCGTATTCTAAATCCAACGCTTCCAGGGGATATAATGTACTTAGGTAATTTAAAATTGGGTCAGGATTCCAAGTTATTTTATATTTAGCCTGTGGTGGTCGAATATTAGACACTCCCTTGACAAAACGATTAATAATTTTCTCATCGCTATTGTTTATAGGACTAAAAATTAAATTCAGAGCTGACCTATAAGAATTTAGCACTGAAAATGAAAGTCCTTTATTGAAGGTATCGGATAAAAAATCCAAGTAAGTCTCTAGATTATAAACAAAAGGCTCTCTATTATTGTCATTACAAAATTTCCAAAATTTGTTTAAACAAGCTGTATTTTGTTTAAGCGTACCCTTTGTTAAAGATGCAGTGATTACTTCTATTGCACTCTCTGGAACTCCTTTCTTTATATAAGACTACCGGATAATTTCCCTGCTACCAGGGAAATCTCCCTGTAGAAAGGATGATAGTCTCTGAAAGGAGAGATTAGTAGAGATTTATTTGATTCAAAATAAACAGGTTCTTCCAATAGTAGCTTACTGAATGAGGGATACCATGCCTGCGTATGCCAATAAGGTACAACCACAATTCCCAAGCCTTTTTCCTGTACAATTTTTTCTAACACCTTTGTAATAATTGAAAAGGGAGGAAAAGCATAAAAGAAAAAATTTGACCACTTCACTGTAAAGGCATCTACTGCCCACGAGTCAGGGTCTGGAAACCATGAAACAAATTTTTTACATTTTTTGTTAATTCTACTTGCAAATAAATCTATTTCAGGGCAACTAAACCTTTGTACAATCTGATTATATGCAATGCTATTTAGCTCATATTCTGTATTTATTGATAATGACCTTGATTATCTATCAGCTTTAAAATTAGCAGATGAGGTAATATAGCTGGCGAATACAATGATACCCTTACATTCACACCATTGACAAAGAGTCTTTCATTTAGGTACAAATACTTAACACTTCCGCCTCTATTTATACAGGAAATTGCAGTTTGATTGTCAATCCTTAATAATATACGAATGTTTTCTTTATCTTTGGAAAGTGATTTTAATGCAAAGTACGCGGCCTTGATCTCTAAAAAGTTTATATGCATTGGTTGTTCAAAATTATGCCAGAAACCATGATACCTGGATCCGTCACAAAAGGCTCCCCAACCCGTTTTGGAGGCGTCCGAAAAAATTTGGAGGGAAAAATTTTTTGATTTCATATTTTGACCCGATCCTATATTAGTGTGCCACCAATCTAATTCTTGATGTAAGGAGGTTGGAATATGCATCATTTTATTATGATTACGATAATCTCCTCGTAACGAAAAATGTTTAATTTTTTCAAAGGGCTTAATATGAATAAAACCGTATTTCGTTGAAGGAGAAGAAGCTACAAGTTTACCTATTAACCTAGCAAATTCTCTTATCGTACACCTATTTTTATTTTTTAAAGTTAAAATCAACTTTCGAGTAGCTTCGCATTTCTCGTTAGGAAGTGAGATAGTCATGGTAATCGTATTGTATATAAAACCCAAGAATTTGACCTTTTGCTGCGGGGATAACATAGTTTTTTGTCTATTTATTACAAAACCTAGCGAGAATTATTTGTGTATGTTTTTTGCATTCACTTTTATTTCTAACTCTTATAAGAATATCGTCTAAATAAAATACGACGATTATTCCAATAAGGCGGAGTTTCCTTGCTAATGGTTTAACAAGTTTTGTAAAAATTAATGGTGCTATATTAAGACCAAATGGTAAAGATTTAAACTGATACAGGTAGTTTTCGAATTTAAATCGTAGGTATTTCCTGTACTTTTTGCTAACTGAAATTAAAAAATGTGCATCCTTCAAATCAATATTTGAGAGACAATAACCTTCATTTAAAAGCTTCACCACAGTCCTTTAATCTTCCAACTTGAAATGTGGAGCAATAATAAATTTATTAAGTGCTTTTAAATTTGAAATAAACCTGTTTGTACCACAAGGCTTCTTAACTACATTTTTCAATTGCACCCATTCGTAACAATTCCTGAATAGAGTTTTTATATTCTTGGAAAAGTTCAATTGGGATTTCTACAGAGGGCTCAAAAAACAGGCCTTTTAAGAAAGGGTATTTTAACTCCTGTAATCCGATCCAAGACCACTCGGTCTCTTGTGATATTTTTCCAGCCCTGTAGAAAAAGTGAAATCTACCAGCGTGATTACTCACGTTTGTTCTAGCAGTTATTTCTGGTGATAGTACTTCTTGGGGTCTCTTCTGAACTTCCTCTGTTGTTCCAATGGTCTCCCCTCTTCTCCCCTCCTCTTCTCTTTCATTCTTCCTTTTGGTAGCGCACGCCGGTGGTTAAATGATAGCTGTTTGGTGTCCCAGATCCTGGATTTCCTATAAAATTGGCGTGCCAAGTTTTCTTCTTAAAATCAGTACTGGCCTTTTTTATTGCCTGTTCGTTCTTCATTCTTTCAGCGAATTTTGAATTGAACAAAAAATCATCTATGTCCAAGCTATCTACCACCTTCTTACATTCAGGATTTAAATGTGGTATAATTTTAAATCTACGGTGAACTGAAAGCCCATGGTGAACGTTAGTAAATAACTGGCAGGCCTCTGCCAATGATTTCATGGTATCAGCTTGTTCTTTGTAAGGCATCATAGTCTCAATAACAGCCCCTACTGCTGACAGACCGTGAGCCAACTGCTGTTGTAAGGCTCTCATAAAACGATCGTGTTCAAGAACAGATTTTAATAGGCATGGCTGGACTTCATTATTAATTTGAGGAGGTTGCAAAGCCTTACAATTTGAAGGTATTTTAAACTGTGTCATTAACTCTTCTCGTTGGTCCTTAGATAAACCTTTTTTTAAAAGGCTGTCCCCACGAACGACTATTTCCTCATACAATTCTTTTCCTACATTATCCTGCGAGTCCGGTCTCGATCCTAGAGCATAAAAACTCTGCTCCGATTGCTCTATTTCATGGACTGTCTGGACATCTGACTTTCTAGTTTTTAAATTTTGAGCTTCATCCTCTGACAATTCTAAAACAATATTATATTCTCTAAGTGCCGGTTGATTTAATCAAATAGAATCGCACGATTCTATTCTGGTAACTATACAGGGTGTTCCATAATTATTGCAACAAAATGATAGGGGTTGTAGAGGGCATAAAAATATGCAATTTTGCCTTATAAACCCCTGTTCGTAAATATGCCGTTTGAGCACTACCGCTAATTTTACCTTAAGAGAAACAAAAAATTCAACAGCTGCAAAATGTTCGTCTAGCACATTTCATGGTCTCGCCGATTTGTAAAAAAAGCCTTCTGTGTTTACATTTTTTTTATCGTAAATTCTCCACACCGATTCATTTAATTTATCTGAGTGGTGCGTCAAACTAGAGGCCAATCCGCGTACAAGCGTGCGTGCTATTGCACATGAAATGGGAGCGTCTCAAACTACTGCTTGGCGGGTTCTCCATAACTAGCAACTACACCCATACCACCTTTTAAAAGTCCAAGCCATGGGTCCAGAAAACTATCTGCCGCGTCGACGTTTTTGTCGTTGGTGGCTGCAGCAGGAGTTGAGGCAACCAAACTTTGGTCGCTACGTTTTGTTCACTGACGAGTCCTGTTTCACAAAGGAAGGTTATTTTAATAGCCGTAACAGTCACATTTGGGATGAAGAAAACCCTCATGCCATAGCCATCCATAGAGACCAACATAGTTTTCAATTAACATCTGGTGCGGCATTGTGGACGAGCATATCATCGGGCCATATTTGCTTCCACCACGTTTGGATGGGCATGCTTATGGTCGATTCTTACAGCATGTGCTACCGGAACTATTAGAAAATGTGCCACTGAACATAAGAGCCAACACGTGGTTTCAACACTATGGCGCTCCAGTCCACTTTTCTTTACAAGTGCTGCAGTATTTGGACGACAAATAGGTGGATCGGCCGAGGTGGCCCTGTGCCTTGGCCTGCGCGGTCACCCGACCTGACCCCACTGGATTATTTTCGCTGGGGCCATCTGAAAGCTTTAGTGTACGAAACTACTGTTCCCAACCAACAAGAGCTACTGGGAAGAGTGATGGCCGCGTCCGCACATGTTCAGGACAAACCGGGGGTATGCCACAGAGTTCGCCGATCATTGAACAATCGTGCACAGCTGTGTATTGAGCAAGGTGGAGGACACTTTGAGCAATTACTGTAGGTATGCTGTTTCAAGAAACTGATCTTTTTTTTGCTGCATCCCAAACGGCATATTTCCGAACAGGGGTTTATAAGGCAAAATTGTTCATTTTGATGCCCTCTACAACCCCTATCATTTTGTCGCAATAATTATGGAACACCCTGTATATATAAACATATATATACGTACATACATTTTTTTTAAATCATTCGATTTTAATTTTTGGGAGTAACGCTCATTACCCTAAAAATATTCGAGAATATATTGTTTTATGTATTTAGGTAAAAATCGCTCGATTTTATTTTCTAGCAGTGACATGAAAATCGCACGATTTCATGTATTTTAGGAAGTATCGCACGATATTCCCGTTATAACCTCTTAATGTGCACATGTGTAAATTTAAGTCAACAATAGTATGACCTACCTGATGTACTTGCATATTTTGCAGATGATAAATCACTAGATTCACTGGACTCACAAAGTTTATTTAGATGCTCCTGCATTTGACGAAATTGCTTCTTTAATTTTTTAATCTCACCATATTTGTCTTGGCTAGACAAACGTCGTTTAGGCATTTTTATGGAAACCTTCCGTACAACACTCACTATTCGAACTGTTATCACTTTATCTGTTGTCGCCGACGAGCACGAAAACGGAATGACTGGACATGTAATGGTGTAGGTCCGGCCGCTGGAGGGGGGAGGGAACACTAGATGTTTTCAAACGTAAATACTTCGCGCTGATGAGTAGGTTTATTCGGAAACTACATGGTAATAATTATATCAAGGACAAGCGAAGGAAAATAAGTATTACAAATCATATATTTGGAATCAGAAAAAAATGACTGTTATCCTCACTGAAAATATACAGCGTGATCCATTTAAAAAAAATCCACATTATTAGATAGCACCCGGTATACAAAAAAAATTACATGAAGAGCTTCATATTAGACTTTATAACTTTTATATACACATTTTTCTTCTAGGACATTAAAAAAAGTTATAGAGATGTCAATTTTCAGCCGGATACCCAGACTTTAACGTATTTTCATATCATTATCACACTATAATAACTAGCTGAACATATCATCTAACAACGTTGCCAAAGTTTCTAGTTGTCGGTTTGCAAACATAAACGTCATGACTGTTTTAGAAGGAATGAACCAGTACTTAACACATCCTTGTTTAACTTACAGCTCATATTTAGCAGTTTTCACTTCACTGAAGACTTAAAAAATGCCTTTAATGCCTCGCGTAATCCCCCATAATTCCTGATAATTCCCGATAATTCATCGTAATTCCCTGCTGTTTTCAATAATTCCCCTTAATTCATCGCAATTCCTGTTAATTCCCCATAATCCCTAAAAAATCCTGTTCGCCAGTGAATGGCCCCTCAGATTGACTCTGCACTTCTCGCGCAATACCATGATCACTTCATAGATAATCATGTTCAGCACAATTTAGACCCTATCAAAAGAAGACAGCACCATTGACCTTATGTTCTGAGAGGATTGTTGCTATGCTTCGTTTGTTGTCCCAGAAACCAAGTAGATCGACTCTATACTTCCTACGCCCTCGTTGGAGATTCCATAGAAAATGGATGAGTCAAGCGGTTTCCAATTGTGACTAGGTAGGTTCAATTTACAACCATTCACCGCATACTACCTTCGTCCATTTATCCATCCGTGTACAGCTGTTTCATTCCTATTGGCAAGGAACTACGGCAAAGTATTCTCTATCAAAGGTACTACCAGAATTTACCTCTGTGACAGTGAACAGCAACTGAATATCGATACTGTGAAGGCATATCAATTTGGTTTAACAATCTTATCAACATTAAGAACGCTAAATACTACATGATTCTGTCAATAATATATGTGTTGTACTCGCCACTGCACTGGTTTCGTTGGATGTCCCTCCTAGACCGTGCGGATCATTGCCAAAAAGAACAGCTGAGCACGGGGAAGCGACTCTTCTATCAAAGTTAATGAATATTGTTTCACGAGAGGTAATAGAACCACGCCACTAAAGTGATAGGAATTTCAGGTATTTTATACATTCGTTTGCAAGTATTGGCCCCACTGCATGATTATAGTAATAATGTTAACATTTATTGTCCAACAGGTCAATCACATGAACAAAATGAACGATAGAACACAATATAAGTTTTGACAATCCATCCTTTGCTACACTAGGAGAACATATAAGTATTTATATCGCAATGACAGCTAACTCTATCACGCTTCTTACATACAACTTGCACAACCAAACCAAAACGTTGGTTCTTCCTCTAGATGGTTTAAAAGTGGCATAATTGTACGAGTACAAAGAAGACAAAGGTACATTAATAATAATTATTTGCGCTAATATATCTGGGGAGTCGATCATGCGTGTAATATTTTGTAAAGAAATATAACATATGAAACCTGTCTTCTGAACTTTTGAATTTCAAAATGCTCAGACAGCTCTGCTCTGCTCCGCTCCTTGTTCAGCAGAAACTCCTTCAGATTTCGAATGAAGAATTTTGAGGAACCTTCTTTGAACCTTTTCAATTTGACATTAGAAGTGTTACACCCTGAAAAAATAACTTCTTCAACTTGATTTTTTGGCAATGAGGTAGTTTTACATAAAGAATGAAACGATAACATTCTCACGAAATTTTATTGACAAGTAATAAAAAGAATAATGAGACCACGCAGTTGAATACACTCTCCTGTATACGATTAGCTGTGGCAGAGTCTGTGCCGGATGGTGCAATTTGGATTGTCTCCTCCCCACCATATCCTAGACATGTTTGATGGGATTTAAATCTGGTGAACGGGATGGCCACGGAAAAACATTAACGCCTTGGGGAAAGTTCGTAGTACGAAGAGCAATATGGGGACGTGCGTTGTCTTGCTGAAAAAGGACGTGTGGACGGCCCTCTACATACGGCAGTAAAGTGGTTTGTAGGACATCATCAACATAACGCGCAGCAGTCATATAGCCTTGAACAAAGAGAAGTGGTGATCGGATAGCATATGCAACAGCCTCCAACGGTCCTGTGTACATGCCTCTCAACAACAAATACAATATCACGCCGTTAGCCACGGTGTGGTCTAACCCTTCTACGACCATCGTGCGTACCTAGACACAATCGTGATTCGTCGCTAAAGATAATATTATGCCAGTCTGCCTTCCAGTTCAAACGTTGACGACAGTGGTCCGTAGTGATAGGAAGAAATAAACCGTGGACCGTATGAGTAAGGTCCAAACTCTCGAATGCGGCCATAGAGTGAACACATAGTAACCGGTCTACCTTCTTCTACAAGCCATTGGTCAACCATCTAACGCGTAATAGCAAAACGGTCTCGTCGGGCTAGTTGTCTGAAGCGCCTATCTGGATCCTCTGTGGTACACCTCATGATCCTCTACCTTCTTCTATCCACACACGACACACACGCATTACCGTCATTGCAGTAGAATTAACACGGCGGCGAATTTCGCAATAGGACGCACCATCATCCCGATAGGCGATAATTCTACCCCTGTCAAAGTCGCTAACATGGTGATAATTTGGAGGTCTTCGAACTCGAGGCATTTTTTTATGCTTAACACTAGTAAATAAAAAGGCAATAACTAAAAGTATCTGTACTACTCAGCTCTCAGAAACTGATTACTCTACAGAAACTAAGAGATAACATTTTAACAAAGGCAAGCAAAAACACAGATAATACGTTGACATTGCTGCCCCAGCATGCTTTAAATATAGCTATTATGTTGCCAAAAAGAAAAGCTGAAGAAATTATTTTTTCTGGCTGTAACACGTCTAATGTCACTGGGTATATATTATATTCGTATATTGATGCTTGCTACGCACATGTGCGAAATATGCTACTTTCAAAGCCATTATGTCGTGAATATGAGGAGTAAATGTCAATATTTGGTCATAAAGAATGCCCAAATACTTGATTGTATCACATTTGTCCAACAAAGCACCTTCAATACGATAGTTGAAAATATGAAGGTCTTTTTCCTAATATGTACTTTAACGTGCAACCTTGCATTTGTTGCTATTTAGATGTATACGATAGTTGAAAATATGAAGGTCTTTTTGTTGCTATTTAGATGTAAATTGTTAACATCGCGCCGAATACTATTCAACTCTATCTGCAAATCCAAACATTTGTGAATATCCCTCATAGGCGAATTTATTTTCACGTCGTCGGCAAAACATAATTTTCACAGAGATCATTAATAATTATAAACAACAGAAATAAAAGTGGTTCCAGGTTAGACCGCTGAGGAACGCAGGATGGAGCTGAGTAGGTCAGTATGAGATTTATGGTCAATTATTGGCATCGGCACAAAAAGATAATAGCTGTTGGGTGACGGTAACGACTTCTGTGCTGAAGGATAACAGAATTCATGTCATTGTGACTGCAGGTCAATTTCTTCCGTAAATCGTTTTATAATAAACTGTGTCATATAATCAGCCTTATCTTACATGAAATCCTTAAAAATGGCAGCAACAACAATAACAATATTGTATCCTGTCGATTAGGCATAGATCATCTACCTTCACAGGTTGGAATGGGACGTTACGATATATATCTTCACAAATGATAGCAACGGAGTGGAAGCTGCAGCAGTAGATGTAATTTTAGAGGAGTGATTAAACACATACGGTCTGATTACAGCTTCATCACGTAGAGGAATGAAACACACACAAGCGCGGCATTCTGCATGGCCTTGCCTTGCTTCGTCTGTCATTTAATACCGAGTATCTCCTAAATTGATTCTGATATATGTTGTTGCAGCAATTGGATCCATTTCTAAATTGATTTTGACTTCATATCACTGTCGAATACATTTCCGTCACACATTCAGGACGACACAAAATTTTTTGAGAAAAATAATTCGTAAAAATGCCAACAGTGTATGCAGTAATTTGAATATGTCACTCAAGGACGTAAAAAAGGTACCGTCTTCATTCAACGTCTTTGAACTACCATACATAGAATCAAAAAATGATGCTACTAGGAAAAGCTTTATAGCCCTTTTCTACACCAAAGAAACCGCGTAAGGTAGAAGCCGAAATACCAGGACACTGCGGTTGCTATGAGGAGCTTAATGACACTTTGTTAATCCGATTTTTGAACTACCCGAGGTTAGTAGAACTGGGCCTCCTTATGTAGATTGTACCACAATCTGAATAGGCTAGGGGCAAACGAACAGTCATATTGGCAAGTTCTAGATGTATGAAAGTCGACACGGTTAGGATGGGAGGCCAAAGTCAGGCGAGTCTGTCTGGTCGGCACGTCACGCGGCGGCGGTGAAGAGTCATCGATCAGTCGCACAACCCTCCTCTTAACAACATTGAGCATGGGTAATGTAGTCGGAGCAGCAACACCATAAACAGGAGAACAGTCCTCGGTGATATGGACTCCGCAGTCGAAATGATCGGATCTTTGGTAGAACTCGGCCATAGATCTAATCCGGATGAGCCCTAAGCCGTTTCTTGTTCGTGAAGGTACTGTGTTTAGAAAACATGAATCTATTAGATGTCCTTATTCAGATGCATCAGAATTGGATTAAATTCATCAGGACTGTTAGATGGAACACAAATTCTATGATTCTTGCAATATTGTATACTTGGCATTTTTTCT